GGATTTTGTAAAGCTAGGCAATTTGATGAAGTGAACACAGTGGTATCTAAGATGGTAGATCGTGGCTTGGTCCAACTAGCGCCTACAGAAGATCCACTTTCTGGAGCTTTTGGATTCTTAGGTCTCAATTCTTCTGCCGTGAAAATCAGAAGAGACAATGATATAAAATTTCATAAAGCAGAATTTTTTGATAATCTTGGGAATGGGCTTTATCTGGATACAGATGTCGATGAGTATGAGAGAGTTATTCATAAAGTCCTTAATGATGCCATGCTTCCTGATTTTAATGCTGTTGTATGGAAGGATTACATGAAAAAAGACATGAAAGATGTTGTGCTGATGGTGGATCAAATGTTCTGTTGGGGACAAGAAATATCTCTGGGTGCTCTGGATGCCTTAGTGAAAGGGCTGTGTGCATCCAGCATTTGTATTAAGACCATTTCTGGTCTGTTGGAGAAAGTTCCAAATTTTACACATCAGCTTGATCAAGAAACTCTAAATGAGCTTGTTCAGAAATACAGCAAAAAGGGTTCTGTGCACAGGGCAAGAGCAATCTTGCATGGCATGCTAAGTAGACATCTAAGACTTGATAGTGAAACTCATACTGCTCTGATGATGGGCTTATGCAAGAAAGGGGATCTGAGTGGTCTAACTTCTTACTGGAAGTTTGCACGAACTAATAATTGGTTACCTGATTTGAAGGATGGAAAGACACTCTTCAGTCGCCTATGCAGGCGAAGACGGCTTAATGAAGCACTGGAGCTTTTTAATGCCTTGCTGGCGCTCTACCCTGATGAAGTATGTGATGCTCTTCATGTGTTCCTTGAAGAGCTCAGTGCTAAAGGGTTCAAAAGCTCTGCTAAGATTCTGGCAAAGGAAATCTTAAGCCAGGGCTTTATTTCTAGTCACTTGGCTCATTGCTATCTTATTCAGGAGTTTTGCAATTGGAGAAGTTTTCGAGAAGCTGCTGTTGTCTGTGATAACATGCTTGCTAAGGACTGGATCCCGCCCTTGGATGCATCTCTTCAATTAATTCCTCAGCTGTGTAGGTCCGGTAATTTTGACAAAGCTGTTGCGCTGAAAGATATTTGTTTAAGAGACGAGCCTCCAGCTGTGCTTCCTTTACACTGTGCTTTAATTCATGGGTATTTCACGTCAGGCAGGGTCAGAGAAGCAACCAGTCTCTTCCAAGAGACATTGGCAAAGGAGCTATTTCTGAGTGTCGAAATTTGTGATGTTCTGTTTCAAGGCTACTGTCAAGCTAACAAGAGGGAGAAAGTTGAGGAGCTGCTTGGTGTCGTGATACGTAAGAACTTAGGTATCAGCATCACAAGTTACCGCAATATAGTGCGGCTGATGTGTACTGGAGGCAAGGTATCTACAGCATTATGCCTGAAAGACCATGTGCTTAAACAAAGCAACCCTCCTACAGCTGTGATATATAACATTTTGATTTATTCCCTTTTCTCAACTAATAAAACCTCAGTTGTTAATACTCTTGTACATGAGATCCTAGGTAAAGGACTGCAGCTAGATGAGGTGACTTACAATTATCTCGTTCAGGGGTTCTGCCGGTGTAAAGATTTGTCATCTGCCACACGATATCTAAAGTATATGATGGAGAAAGATCTGAGACCAAGTAACCGTAGTTTGAGAGAGGTCATCAAATGCCTTTGTTGTTATGGGGAGCTTGAAGAAGCTTTAACCTTGAGCAAAGAAATGGAGTTCAGAGGTTGGAATCATGGTTCAGTCATTCAAAATAATATAGTGGAGACCCTTCTTTCTAATGGTAAGCTAGGTGAAGCCATAAACTTTTTGGACTGGATGGCAATAAAATGCCTCATTCCTGAAAATATTGATTACAATTATCTTATTAAGCGACTTTGTCAGCACGGAAGGGTAGATAAATCAGTAGATCTTATGGACATCATGTTGAGAAACGGGAACGTGCCAGAGTCCAGCAGTTTTGATTACGTTGTTCAAAGTTTCTGTACCTGGCGTAAACTGGATGTAGCCCTGACTTTCCATGCGGAGATGTTATGTAGAAATCAAAGGCCAAGCATAAATACTTGGAGCATTCTGATCAAGTGCTTAAGTGAAGGAGGACAACTTGCAGAGGCAGAGAAACAACTCGATTCAATGGTTCAGCTTGGAGAAATCCCGAGGAGGGAAACATATTCCTTGCTGATCAACATGTATCGCTCTCAGAACAATCTTAACAAGGCATCCGAGCTCCTACGTTCAATGCAACGTTCTGGTTATGAACCTGACTTTGAAACTCACTGGTCTCTGATAAGCAATTTGAGGGATTCAAGTGATAATGTAAATGATGGGAAGCAGAATGGGGGATTTTTGTCCAGATTTCTTTCTGAAATTGGATTTTCTAGAAAGAATTAAAGGGGGATGACATATGTTGTACCATATTTTGTGAATGAATAAGCTTTGTTGTTTGCTATTCTCTTTTTAGCTTACTAGTTCTGGACACGCGTGCTTTGCACGTGAATCCCACAAAAATATTATATATAGTATGAATTATGTTAAAATCATAGTATTATTTTCCCCTAACATCACTATTCTGTATTCTTTGCCTTAATTCTTGTCTTTCCCTATAGTTTATGTTCCCTCCATTTTATTTTTATTGTTTTCTTTGTTATTAAAAAGTGAATTTACTTTCACTTTCGATTGTAATTTATAAATATGTAAAATTTATTTTAAAGAATTTTAAAATATTCTATTTGAACTCATGAAACGACATAAAATAATTAGATAATTTAACCTTTGTATTCTGAATCATGATTCATAAGTAAATATGCATACACATTTCAAAATGGTGAATACATGTGAAAATGCTTTCTTTCAAAAAAATAAATATGAAAGGTTTATTTAAGGAAATAGAAGCAACATTTTTTTTTTTATTAAACTTACTGATCAAAGAGAGCATGGAAAAATAATTTTTTAGTGGCTTGAAGCCATCCTTGCATTCATTGTTTCACAAGCTATGCTTATCAAATAATCCATGAACATCTCCATATATATAATTGTTAGCAATTACATTGAAGTTGACAATAATAATGTGAAATAAGTGTCATCAAGATAACTCTTCTGTAACATCTCGCAATTTGAAATAGCTAGGAAGAAACTTAGAACTGGAAATAGTCATTTTTGGAAATAATGAAAATCTGGAAATTTGTTTTAGTTAGGAAAAAGTTGAGCTTTGGTCAACTTCAAATGGCCATAACTCCTAGCTCAGGGTGAATTAGGTGTACTTCCAGATATGGTTGGAATGATCTTTCCAACGCCGCCGAGTTTGCACGATTCTGAGTTCGTATGAGTGAGTTAAGCCCTTTGAAAGTTGGGCGGTGCGATTAAGGAAAGTCTAATCCGAATTTTTTGAAGGATAGATTAGTCTTTTCCTTACCCAATTAATTTAATTCATTTTAGTGAATTAATTAAGGGTCAAATCAGAATGAGATCAGTTTAGTCAATTGGAAATTCACGCTAGGGCTTGGAGAAAAGAGAAAAGAGGAGAAAGGAGAAGAATAGCTCAGATTTCGCTAAGATCGTGCGATTTGGTGGTGGATTTCGCCAAGGAATTAATCTTACAAGGTATGTGAGTCTTTCATAGTGTTGAGTTCATTCACCCACGCGTCAAACATGTTTAGTTCAGCGAAATTTGTCCTAAAAGAGTTTGAAAGTTGATGTTCTTGACATATATTCTTGAATTTGAATGTTGTACTTGAATTGGGTTGAATTGAGGAGTTTTTGAGATTTTATGTTGAGTTTTAGAGTTGTTTTGAGTTAGGTTCTTGAGTACATATGTTGGGTATCGGAATCTAAAATGAATTTGAGAATAATAGTCGAGTTTAGGCGAATTGGGGCTGTAAAACGGAGAAGAAAAAAGTCGAGCGTGATCTGGCGGCATTAGTTAGTTATCATTAGATCCAATGTCGCTATAGGCTTCAGGGATATTTACAAAGAATGTTAAATGTCTCTAAAAAAACACATTTAGTGATAACTAAGTTATTGCCATTAATTAATTACCGCTAAAATTATTTTTGGTGTGGTGTAGGCATTTGGACAATATTTGGTCGAAATTGAAAAACCGGTATTTGAAGAAAAAGAGACATCGAAAATAAGTTGTGTTTAGATATGCACTTCAAGTTAAAAGATTTGTGAAGTAAAGTTATTTCTTCACTCGAAACATTTCTTAAATGTGTGTTTTTTACCTTCCTCTAGTAATTGCAAATCCTTATAAATGATCTGATATTTGCAAATACTTTGTGATTAATATAAAAAGGAGTCTTGAGCGGTGAAAATAGTTTCTTACAATTTACTGCATATTGGAATCAATAATATTGACCCTGAGGTAACAAATATGATAAAAAATTTGGAAACAACAAAGTTTATACAAAAAACCTATCTAATCGTTTAATATAAAATCATATCTTTTCTAGGAAATAATTAAAAATAGTCGAATATAAGCTGGCTCTAACTAATCAATGAAACGTACTAAATATATAGTCCAAAACCATGCCAGGATTCTCCTTAGATCTCGGAGATATTTTATATGTGGGAAGAAAATCGTTAAAAATTCTAAAAATACTCATTATTTATTAGTAATTTCTAAAAATACTCATTTCAAATTATTTTGTCGTTTTAGAAAATCAAAACATTTTATTATTAATAGTGACTATTTTCAAAGACTATAAACATATGGTGATATTATGATTGTTTAAACACCAATAAAGAGTAAAATAGTTTATAATTCATCCTAATTTCTACAATATTTTTAAGGAAGGTGTAAAAAAATTAATAACCACAGATAATTTGAGACGGAGTAAGTACAAACATATATAAAAATGAACAACATGAACGTACGTACTTGATATAAATCTCATAATGCAAACCATATAATTGTTTGTACAGAAGAATCATTGATCATTACACACAAATAAGAAACTTGAAAAGAAAAAGAGAGAAACAAATTAAAGATCAGACGAAACAAATACTCTCAAATCATGACAAACACAAAATTAATGATTCAATGATTGACGAGATAGGGCGATAGCGGAGAGGAAGACGAGGAGTATGATGAGTACAACTCCTGCAAATGAACCAACTAAAGATCCTGATGTTCTATGGCAAAACGAATCGTACTGTTGACAGATTGGGAACCAATTTGTCTTTCTATTTCCCTTATGTGCTAAGTACACTATTGCTGCTGATGCTGATGCTCCTGCTGTCAATAGCCCCAACATTGCCTTCATTCATTTCAACAACCTTAATTAATTAGTTCACACATGTTTCTCTTTTTCGATAGTGAACTTTGATTAACATTTTAAAATGATCCACATCTGAAAAAGTTACAACTTGTACTACTACTTCTTTTTTAAAAATAATTTTTGAATGTATAAATAATTTTAATTATAATATATTGAGTTGAAGAACAGAAACATGACAACTAATTTGGGACTGAGGGAGTAATTTCCTTGGTAGAGAATGTAACTAACATTTGGTTAAACATATTGATAGTGCAAAAAAGATGACTATATAAGTCGGTGTATGCCAGTTAAATTCTAATCTAAATATTCCTTCACTCTTAATATATCGATAGTTTTTAAGTCCTATCCACCGATGGTGATGAGATATCGTCTACAAAAATAGATCATTAATTTAACAAGTAATTTCTATAGTAATCTGATAGTGTAAAAAATATTTATACCGCGTCAAAGAATATTAAGGCAATTCTGGTTGCTTGTGCGTGGCTCCTCATGATGTGGTAGATAGACAGCCCCAAAGAAAGTACTAGATATGCACTTACTATGGCATTTGCCACTACAAAGAACCTGTAAAAATCAACATGTGAACTAGTTATTAGTTACTAAAAAAAAAAAAAGGTCCATGCATCTAAATTGTTTATACACATACTAACATGTTGATTAAAAAGCGCGTATAAGTTAGTTTAACCAGCTTATAAGCTTGATCAAACATGAAGTGCTTACGTGAATGTGGGAAGATCGTTATACTTGGCCTTGAAACGAACAAATTGAGTGAAAAAAGGAAGTGTTTCATTAGTAGTTCCCATGGCAATGACACTTCCTAATGTTGCAATTATGGCAATTATCCTTATAAACAAGTCTAGTATAGACATTCCTCTATTCACCCCACTTTTTGTTGTCTTTGAAGCATGTCCAAGTACAAGAGCACCTGCCTTCATTTTTTTCTTCTTGAAGAGTTGCTAAAAAATATTTTGAGAAATTAAAGGTTTTTTTACAAGAAAAGAAAGAAGAGGAAGATTTTGGTATTTTGGTGATTGGTTTAGAGGGGCGACATGTTAATTTATATGCACATCATAGAGCATATACCTACTATGTGGTGCCTTAACTACATGTCTTGGGTTTGAACTTTGAGTATGAAAAAAATCCTGATGGGAGTGCCAACCCCGAATGAGTTTTGTAGTGCGTGATCTAAATTTAATCGGGGCTTCAATGTGAACTCCAAACACCACGTAGAAAATCAATAAATAAATAAAATATAGAGCATATACCTTTTTGAGTTTTTTCCCAAAATGAACCAGCTCACCAAACATGTTAAGCCAAGTGGCATCATTCATAAAGAGCTACATTCCTCTTTGGATTTCAATATTTTTATGTGTCATTTTCTTGCCAATTTTATAATGTTTACTTGTACTTATCTCTAATTATTAACTCATTTTTCTATAATCTTTTGAACAAAAAAAAAACATGTCGCAACTAATTACTCTACAACATTATCTGCGTTCATTTTCTATCTTAGTTTGATTTAAGATCAAATTTAAGAACATATAAAATATGTCATTTGAATCTTTTTATGTTAAATATGTCATGTCATTCTTATAAGGATGTGTTATGTTAAGGACAAAACATCGATGTTGAAAATGTATATTGAAATATAAGAAGGTGATATTATTTTTGAATTATTTTTTTTTAGAAAAAACTAAGAACACATAGGTTGCTGAATTGTGTGATTTTATTTATTTGATTATAAATTTAATGTTTTCTTAAATATATATGTTCCTAACTAATTCTTTTTCATGAGTTAAACCTGTAAATAAAAAAATTATAACAGTTACAACGCAATTTAAATCCAGTACCTCCTTCTGTTATGATAAATTGTGTAACTACATCATTATTAAAGAAAAAGTACTAACTTTTATTTACTTAATTATAGTATTTTTAACACACATAGTCCCATTTTCAATTTAGATGTATGGTTTGTATTCTCAATTCAGAAACTCATCTGTCGTATTAACTTCAAATATACATTGGTTTTGTTTTAATATAATCGAATTTAGAAGTGTTTGTTATTGCTGTTATATTGGAGCCACTCAACATTAATCATCATTTTAGCCTTTCAGTTTAAGTACAATATTCCAGTTAAAATATCAATAATATTTCTCAAGAAAATGGACTGTCTTTTCGTATATTGTCAAATCGTTTATCACTAAAAATTGTAATGTAGTGGTAAGTATTTACAAGTAGAATCCGTGAATTTGACTTTAGCATGAAATATTTACTTATAAATTCAAATTTTTGAATACAAAATTTAAATTAATCGAGTCTCAAAATAAATATTTATACTGCATTATTTCAAAATAAAAAATTAGAGGCAAACTGTTTAACTGCCACAACCTACTCTTGTCACTTTTTAATAATTGTCCACCTACGTCAAGTAATATACCTTCATGATTCCAACTCCATTATTATTATTCTTTCCCTTAAATGGAATACTTTTATGTTCATTAGCTTAAAAGGGAAAAAAAATGTACTAGCTTGCATGTGTGTGATAAGATCCACTACTTCATATCCTTGTCCACATGGGGTACCTAGGATACACGTAGAAATTTAGTGATAATAGATTTTTTTTTTAATTAATCGTAATATTTATTATCATAAAAATATTTAGCGATAATTAAAGTAATGTTATTGTACTTAAAATTTGTAAATTTATTAGCAATATTTATATAGAGTATTAGTTATAAATACACGTATTTATTATTGTCGCTAAATATAATATATCAATAATTATATTATGTCGCTAAATAATTACCGCAAAATCTCTTTTATTTGTTGTAGTGATATCAGAAGGAATGGAAATTAATTTTTAAAATATATCTATAATAAATATGTAAATTATTTCCTTGACTTTTCTTATATTTAAATTAATTTTGAATTTCTCTTTTGATCGAACCTTTTTCTGTACCTGACGAAAGTTTTAATGCATCGATATAGTCCTTTGTTTTATGTTTTTCTAAAAGAAAATTCTGTTTGTCGCGGCTTGTGCGTATTAATAAAAATGAAAATACCCTCACAAAGGTATCTTCTTTTTTGGAGAAGATAAAATAAAATAAAGGTTGATTAGTTGGATAGTGGCCTAAGTGATTATTCTTTCTTGCTAACCAATCCAATTTGTTCGAGCTATAATTCCTTGGAATAAGATATATTATCTTTTATATTATTACTAGTTACGAAGATTCCGTGTGCACGGATTCAATATTTATTCATAAATTTATATTTAAATAATATTAATTTAATGATATTAAATCATTTCATTAAGTGTAAAATAAATATTTGATAAATATTATTAGTATTGATAAATATTTAGTGGTATTGATTAAATTATTTTAAGTTCTTACTCTAAAATAAATTATACTATGTTTGTGTGGCAGTATCGTCTCTTTTTTTTGTGCGTAAATTAAATTTAATGTGAAGAGGTCTATTTAGATGTTTATAATTAAAGTATTTTTCGTTATCGATCGTTGATTTTTTAGTCAAAGTAGTTACAAAATATACACAAATATTATTGACATTCAAAATAATAAAGCTATAACTAAAGAATATGAATTTAAAAATAAATATCATAGCTAAAATGGTCCCATAATTTCAAAAAAATTGCACACTAATTAAATTAAATTAAAACAAAAGAAAGAAATATATATATTTTAAATACCTTTGTTGAAGGCGACGGAAACATACCTGCTTCAGGTTCAAACTCACTTATATAATAAGTAAATATAAATGGAAATAGCTCTCATCCAAGCAATGTAATTAACCATTTGGCTAAATACATTCACCGCTATTTAAACTTATCAATAAATTTTATTTTGAGACACACTTGAATCATGGTAGCTTACAACTGAATATATGATAAAGTATTTTATTAGATAATTTTGATTTAAATTTTAATTATTTTTTGTGCATATTAACAAATGTCTATTGTGTAAATAAGTTAACCTTATGATTAAACATGACATGTACTTTAAATCTACACATCAATCTCAATTAAAGATAATTTTACATCATTGTTAAGTTTAATACGTACAATTAAGGGAAGTAACATATTTTTAAGTGATTTACATAATGAATACTTTAGAACACAAGTTAACATGTACTCAGATGCTTAATCAAATCATATCGTAGTTCGAGTGTCCAAATAAAACTAACTGACAACTTTAAGAGATTGTCGAACCTAAATTGTGAATTCATGGTATATAACATTTCCCCTTAAAAACAAATTGGTTAACAATTTTTGCATTGCTTTTTTTGGTACACAAAATCATTAATATAGTTTTTTGTGTATTTGTATTTATAATAGCTAAATGAAATCTAAACACCAAACATGGGCAGAGCTACCCTAGGGCAAGGAAGTGACACCCCTTCATCGAAAAATTTACATTGTATATATAGATCAAAATTTGATTTAACATATATATATACAAGTGTTGACACATCTTAACATAAGTTGAAGGTTTATTGTAGTGGTTAAGGGGTTGCAAAAGTTGTTTGAGGTTGTGTGTTGGCGAAATGGTCTGGTGAACCCTTATACCTGTATCAGTTTGTATTCTAAACCCTTCTACTTACACCTTTGTCATCTAAACCCTTAAACTCAATTAAAATGAGACTTTTAAGCCCCTCCAACCATGTGTGTAGCTCACTCTCCTTTATATAATTGACATGTCATATCCACGTCAGATATATTAATGCCACATCATAATTATTTCATAACTATTTTTTAAAATTATTTAATAAAATGTAAAATAATAACATTTTAATTTATTATTGGCATTTCTAATTCTCCCTATTTCACGACCAAACATCGCCGGCGTCGTCGCCATTTTTGCTGGCGAAATCATATATACTTTCTCCCTCACCCATCTTAATCTCCGCCGCACACCATCACTATTTTTCTTTCCTCCTCCAACCTCCACAGTAACAACAACCTAAACCACCGCAAAACCAGATCTGGCCAAACTTTTCGTAATCCTCACACCCCAAATTGCTTACAAATACAATTTCACACCAACCTATGCCGTGAAACTCGTCGAAATCTACCTATTATAGTTTCTCCCCTTCCCATTGTTTCATGGCCCAAACCATCGCCGCCGTCACCATTGTTGCCGGCGAAACCATCATATTCCTTCCTTTACCTGCCTTCATCTCCGCCACATGTCACGACCATTTTCCTTTCCTTCTCCAACCTCACAAAACCAACAACCTAAGCCAACACACCAGATCTAGCCGAAAAATAGATTTCGGAAAAAAAGAAAAAAAGGGTTGGGCAAGGGATGAATATGGCTGAAAATGAGGTGTAATGGGTGAAGAAGAAGGAGTTTTTTAATTAATGGTTTAAATTTTTATTTTTTTTTATAATTTTAAATTTTTTAAAGTAAAAATGCTCCTCACTTACCTTAATAGGCGTGTAGTTACACACTTTTGCCAACTCAGACATCTTACTGTCACATAAGCCTGGTCAACGGTCAGAGGGGTTTGTTAAATTGTGTTTTATTGAGTTTAAGGGTCCAGATGGCAAATGTATAAGTAGAAGGGTTCAGAATACAAACTGATACAAGTATAAGGGTCCACCAAACCATTTCACTAACCCATGATGGCAACAATTACCTTTTTACTTTATATTTTGCACCCCTTAATAAAAATCTTGGCTTTGCCACTTACACCAAAAAAATATATATACATATATAAAAACACCTCAATATGATAATCATGAAACTTTTTAATTTATATTTTGACACCCCGTAATAAAAAAATTTAACTCTGCCACTTACACCAAATATATGTATACATATATAAAAACACCTCATGAATATGATAATCATAAAATTTTCAGACAAATATTATCATTATAACGAATCTTAATTGTATAAAGTGTGTAAAATGTATTTTAACATAATTACTATGGCTTTAAAATGATATAGCAAATTACTTTATCTTTTCAGGCTATCACTTGAGTTCC